GCTTCAGATGATAAACTAAAACGTTTTAATTAAACATGCTTTCTTTTTCTCGCGACTCTTTTAGTTTTGAAAAGCAAATTATAACATCGGTGCAGGTAAAGGTCCACTTAAACTGGAATTACGTCATATTTAACAATTGACCAAGCACGTGGAGGAAAACAGCATTGGAATAAACTTGTTCGTTTTTTTAATCTGAGTGTGAAAGAGATGAGTAAGACATCATCCCAGATTGATTGTCGATTCTTCTTTCTAGCTTTAGGTACACATCTATTTTTAATACTCCAGCATTTAAAAAAATTACCGTGACAGACTAACTTGCTAATATATTCTTCTACATAGATATGCCTATGGAATTAGTATATGGTGTGTATGCTTAACACCACATAATTTAAATATTGGGATACCGTTTATAGGTATTACATATTACACTCCATATATTCGTAGGATCTCAAGTTAATTGATGGTGTCAAATTTTCTAAATGAACCATATTGCGTTCATTACATAGTTTTCAAACAGGTTATTACGCATACCAATCATACCATATGTTTTTATCAATTTTAAACTTGTTTATATATATAGCCATTTCTGGTTTTGTCTAAAAAACTGTATCGTAAAGAATTACATGTTCACCATTGTTTGACGTCTAGCTAATAACAAAGTATTGTGAAATACTTCGAAGTTAGAATCAAATACTGAGGGGAAAATGCTTAGTTACCTTATATTACTTGAGAAAAACACCAACCAACAATTCTTGAATGTAACACATTTTTCGTTTTGATTAAACTTAATCATTCTTAGAAACGTTAACCAATTTTTTTCGAAGGCTAATTAGATAGTTTTTCATTCTTGGAAATTGGAATTTTTGCTGTCGTTAGAAATAAATTCTTGTACTGAAATTGTGTGTACAGTGAAAAACTGAAAGATTCGCACGTGCGCAGCCATGTAAAGGTTTTTACGCACTTTTAAATAAATTACTGAGGCTACTACATTGATTACGAAGTTGACATTAAATTTACTTGTATCTAGTTAATTAGCTTTCTGTATATATTATCCGCGTGTCTAAAATAATAGTACGTTATGGAAACAAGTCGTAAGTCAAATATAACGTTTATACTGGAAAGTTATACTTGAAGTTGTGTTTAATATTTCTCCAACCGAATAACACAACTAACACTGAGAAGTCCTTTTAAAGTTATAATGACAAACTACAAGTTTACTGTAGCTGTTAGTAAAGTCTAAATCGAAATACTTATCTGAAGAACTTATCATGTTGGAATTTTGTCGAAATTAATGTCGCAAAATAACATGCGTTACTTTTTTTTTCTGTTTTGTTAGTGAAATATTGTGCCTATGACATATTCAAACCGATATCATATCGTGACTCTTAAGCCTTTATTTGGAGAACTATAGTTTTAATTTTGAAGGTTTACTTGTTTCATAATAAATATATGAAAAATTACCATAAAAATGTTTGGAAATGGAAGGCTTTAGAAACTGTTGGGAAGACGCTTTTATTTAATTTTACAATATTTCAAATTAAGGCTTCTGTCATGTATTTAAAATACTTATGTCGTTATCGAAATGTAAATGTTAAAAAGGTTTGGTTTTGATAAGCTAAGAGCTTGTCCTAAGTCCGTTAATTGTTTTTTTTTTTTTTCAAATGATGCATGAAGGTAAGAACAGTACCAATATATTATAAAACAAAGAACCAGGGGTGAGAACATATTCCTACCAAGCAACTTGCAGAAGTTATATACAGATAACTAAAGATGTAGCCAAATCATTGAAAACACTAATTATGTGGAAGAACATATACTTTGGAGTAAACTGGTTTATGTAATTCCACGTATTGGTTTTCATAAAATGGGACCGTGTACTCAAAATACTGACTCAGCATCATACGTATCGTTATTCCTATTACTTGAAATTGACAATGAGAGTTGGAAACTAGCTTATTAGAGTATCCGTTTCGATGTATTTTGAATACAAACTGGTAGTGTTAATTTGCCCATCGTTTTCGTTAATAGAGGATTTAAGCATTCACAGTATTTGTACAAAACTAGTACAATCAATAATCGCTGAAAAAAATACTAAATGCTAAGGTATAATCAAAAAATGATTTTTAATGTGTGATGTAAATTGTCAGGATAAATAACACGCAAGGTTATCTTCTGTTTCAGAGATAAAGCTGGTTTTGAAAAACAGAAATGAACTACTCAAAATTGACTAATAATTAACAGGTATTTACTGCTATCCAACGTTACATTAAACATTGGAATGTTATCTTAGTGCACGAACAATAGGTTGCACATTATAAACATTATACTGAAGTATCGCAATGTATTTTTAAATTGTGATCATATCTGTAAGAAAATTATCCTTCTAATCGTTTTTAATCTTATCTCTGTATATTAGAATTTTGCAATCTATTAATCATCGGCAGTAAACTTCTTCAAACTAGTGTGCAGTCGGAGAGTGTTTGCTTTCCATGTACGTTATTTTAAGCGAGATATTCCAAGAGTTCGTCTCTATCTTATATTGTAATCTTCTTCATGTAAGAAGTTGTCTGTTTTATATACAAGTTAAAACAATATTTTTTAGTTTCCTGTTCTATGCATTTTTGTAGTCAGTGACTGTAATTTTATTAACCTTATACAGAATATTTCAAAACACTGCAACAAACTGCAATACAATTTAAACATGTACTCCTTGGTGTCTGTAGTAGACCCCCTCCCAAGGGGGGGGAGGAGTAAAATGAAAAGTGTTCTTATTTTTTTATTTATTGTATTTGTTTGACTTAGCGTATAGTTTTCTGGTCTGCATACATAGGTAATGCTGAAATAATTGCTAGTGACAATACGTTGTACACTTTGAAAACATAGTGCACGCTTTAAAAATCGTGTACACGTATTAGTAAAACCGTACGAATGAAAGCAGGTTGTTATTATGCCACTATTGCGAAGTATTGCAGAGCAAGGCATATTGGTTTGCCCCTGTGACCCAATCCGTTCGTCCCGGTCTTGTGGACAGGATATTTTAAGAGTGGATGGACGGATTTTGACCAAACTTATATAATAGGTACTACATACAAAATTGTAGACCTTTTTAAGCTCTGAAGATCAAAGTCAAAGGGTCACTAATACATAGAAAATCTTCCACAATCTTGTGAATGTATTTCATTACAGGATGTATGGATATTGACCAAATATATATATTTATTAAAAGAACAAAACAAATATAACTGGTAATAAATACAAAGTTCTAGACCTAATTAACTTCTGAAGATCATGGTTCAAGGGTCAAAAGGTTATTTAGACTTAGAAAATTCGTCCCAATCTTATGGACAAGTATTACTTAAGCATAGAGTATTACATTAGTGGGGCATAGGTATTTCATAAACACAATTTGCATTTGTTAAATTTGGGTATTATATATTATACTGGAATATGTAGAACGAAAAGAAAACATAAAAATCAAAATACTTATCCAAATCAAACGTTTGAGCGTGTGCTTTAGTTACGGGCAATACAGAGGTTGAACACGTTATACTAAAACAATTTTGGAGCCTCATTACGTGTGGTCATGCTCTGTTTGACGACCGTGAATCTGTAAAATAACCCTGCAACATAGTTTCCACTCCAAAAGTCTACGTTGTAGGGATGTCATATCCATAGTATCCTACTACTTCGTGCATGTTTTCCATAATTCATCTAGTGTATGAGAACGACGATTTCCCAACGCCAAGTTCAACAATCCGATCGCACACAAGTCAATGGGTGATGTGTCCGAAGTCTTGACCGGTTTGTTTTCGTATGGATAAGCAGGAATACCCGTTTCCCCCTCGAGGTATTTGACGGTTGAATGAATATGTCGTAGAGGTTACATACGCGTGAGATTTGTCGCCTTTCCAGGTGGAGATCCTTCTGAGCATGTGGATGACTTTTATGTTTGTGGACTCTCATTTGTTACAAGACGCCTCACTTTGTTTACCACGATAGGGGTGCAACTTTTTGTTGATTGGGCCTGGTATCACAAGTTGATCCATGTTCATTTGTTTTTCAATAACACGAAGTACAACGGGTATATACTTGGAAGTTTTAAACCTCCTATATGAACACATTTTTATGATCTGAGTGTATGAATATTTCGTATCGAAAGAGCTTTACATATACTTCCCAATGTGGTCAATTTTCTGTGGTTTCACACTACATACGAAATGTCAAATAACATCAAAATGTAATTCTGATAAATTCCGTTCCATCGCTACTTTATACAGGTTTTAGTTGTCTAGTGACTTGTTGATTTGCACATTCAGCTTCTCGTACAAGTTGTAGTCATGCTTATTGCCAAGTCTCACGTTAATATTGTGGATTTAGTAGCGTACACTTTTTATTTTAATAAAGTATTCAAGAAAGAAACTGCGATACAAGTTTAAAATCTCAAATTTTGCTACATTCTAAATTTTTAATTATATGTTGATATCTTCCAACATTTCAAAAGCATCCATCCTATTATTTAAACGTTCTTATAGTATACCCTTTATAACAAACTTTCGTATAATTGTTTACTTTGGTCACAATAATCGTTACTGTTTTCTGTATAAACCGACTGTGTTATAAACGGACATTTTTTGTATGTTTACGGCCATTCTTATTAATTTGCAAACTGACATTAAATCTTGTTTGTCCAAATATTCCCCTTCTTCCCTCTCTATACTTATGAAGTTAAAAAAAACATGCTTCTCTCTATCTTTAACTGCACACGTGTCAGTACAAGAATCTAATCTTGTTTTGACATGTTTTATATTTAAAGTAAACCAAATGCTAAATCAGCAAATGGTGCAAGAAATCTTTCAGAATAATAAGTTTGAAAGATTTTTAACACATTCTTTTAAAAGACAGACTGAAAAATGAGTTTTTTCTTTTTTTATCATTAGCAAATGAAATGCCAGCAATTTCAATCACTTGATTCTTTTAAGACAATGGTTATCAAATTGTAGTTCGCAGTCCACTGGTGGTACGAAAGGGCCCTTCAGGTGGTTCGAATACTGGTCCAAAATGCAAGTCACTGACGCGCAACGCCACGGCCGAGGTCATGCGAGAGAACAGAACAGGTGGGATAGGACCGGTAGGTGATCCACTAGGTCTTTTGCTACGCCGAAGCGGTCTGAGGACGAAAAAGTTTGAGAATCACTGGTTTAAGATTAAAACTACGTTATACAAGGAAAGACATTTTGGCTAAAAGGGGGGAAAAAACGACATAGAATGATAAACTATCCTAACTTGTTTTATTTTATAGCTGAGCCTCCCACTAGTTGAGCGGCATGTCTGAAGGTTGAACGCTAAAAACCGGGTTTCGATACCCTTGGTGGGCAAAGCACAGATAGCTCGTTGTGCAGCTTTCAGCTTAACAACATACAAAATTTATGGTTGAACTACCAGTTCTCTAGCCATATTTTATTATTATAAGCATATTTATTACTGTTGCTATTTTTCTCCAATTTTTTTTAAATTCTCAACCTAGAAAAAAGAAATGAGTGATTCCTATATGAATATTAAAAAAATATATTTATGGTTATTGCAAAACTTCAGCGTCAAGTACACACTATGCAGGAAATCTTAACTTTGTCATTCTTAAGTTGTCGTATTTTACTAAAAAGAAAATAATAAAAAAGGATGAATGAAAATAGTTTTCATTTTGATTTGTGTTTACAAATTTTACCCAGCACCCATAAACGTGTACTAGTAGTATTAGTTATCCCGCAGTTAATATTCAATTTGTTGCGTTCGTAAAATGCGTGTCTTATGTATATATTAAGTCTGTGGTTGTTTGACATAAAACAGTGATTTGAACTTCACTGGATATAGCTGTGAAGGTTTACATTAAATATGACTTTAAGTAAATGTTGGAGAAGTTCATTGCAAAGTTATAGTAAAAACGTTTTTAAGTTACTTTTTGAAATGTACCTTTATTTAGATTGTGATTTAGTCAATGAAATATAAAATCCGAAAACTAAAAATTGACGATCCTTAATTTTATAATAATTTTTGAAGGTTATTTCTTTCAGCATCCCTTTCTAAAAGATTAATTACTAGTGTAGAATAAAGTATTTATCGCTGGTAGTTTTGGTATCTAATATAAGGTGTTATGCATTACAAAATCTGATTCGTCAACAACATAGACGACAAAACGTTTTTCTTTTTGGATTTGTTACATATTTGAGAAAAACGAGTATTGTAAGCATCAACACCAGTTTTTGATGCTGTGCTGGTTAAGGGCAGTGGCACCATTTCAGCATAATCTTGGGGGTGGGCTGAAGGTGCAAACTTGAATCCTAATTCATACATTTCTAAAAAAAAATCAAAACATGGGTGAGTTGGCTGATCCATATCTCCCCCCCAATTGGCGCCACTCGTTGAAGGTCACAGTCCAGAAAGGCCAGGGTCTTGGGACAATCAGAGTCCCTAAAATATGCCACTATATCCAGAGAGCGAATCTTTCGGCTGCTCCAGAATTTTATGCTTTTATTTGTGATTTTTTTCTTTTATCATTTGGGGTTGTTTGTATAAAATCCAAAATGTAGTCAAAAGTGTTGGCCATTCTTGTAACATAATGAAACAGCATTTCAGTGCAGGGAGAACTTCCAGAATTCTATTTACAAGTTTACTACTTGTACGATTTTTTTTTTATTCAGGTTTAGATTATTACAGTGCATATCAGCATGTTCTTAGCATACATTGCGGACGTAACCCTCGAATTTCGAGTTTGTTGAATGGTCTGATAATAAGAATGTAGAAACGAGGCATCATGCACATTGGTTGCATTGTTTCTCATTCTGATCATCAATTAAAAATCATTAACTATTTATTCGGATAGTAAATTTGTTTGTGGGCAAGATTGAATCGAACTACTAAGGTTGAGCGTGCTATATATTAAAACTTATTTTCGAGACTCATTACGTCGTTACATTTCATGTCACCACATCTGTCATGCTCTACCTGATAACTGTGCGTCTTTATAATAAACCCCTGTAGCGAAGTTTCCATTGAAAAGGTGCCGTCGCAACATTATTATGCTCATAATGTCAGATCGCATAGAAATCCATAGGCGTTGCATCTGGCGACTTGGCCAGTGCATCTTCGTGTGGAATAGCATGAATACAAGTTTATTATTCAGCTGCTTGAGGTATGCGACTGTTGAACCGATATGTCGTGAAGTAACTTGAGTATACATGACTTGTGTCGCTTTTCCAGATGGGGATCCTTATTAATCATATTGGGACATGTGGACGGCTTCTACCCGTGACCGTTGTGCTCGAGAATTTTCACCTGTTACAAGTCTGTTTCTGGATGGTACTGGTGCCCTATGTTGATGTGTACTCCTTTGTTTTCTGATGCCATTAAGTACAGGGTATATCCCCATTTTGGAAATTCTAAATGCACACACACGTGTGTGTGTGTGAATATTATGCTCCGGAAGTTGCTGTTACATGCCCTTTCCCAAAGCGATCAATTTTCGGACGGTATCACGTTATTTTTAATTGCCAAACAATATCAAAATGCAGTTCTGATACATGTCATTCCACAACGGTATGATATGGGCTGTAGTTGTCACATGACTTGCTAATTTACATATTCAAAATTGTATTAATATAAAGTACCCAACCCTCTGTACTTGACGATTACACTTGCATTTATAGTTAACACTGTTAAATGATTTCTCAATATCTGTAAGCAGTGAGTTCAGAAGAGATATTATTTATAGTCATCTTACATAGTTACATAATACATACATATATTACACTACAGCTAACATGTAACTATAATTGGTCAAGAAGAAAACATTTATATATGCTGGAAAGGTTTCTTACACGATATACGTAGAAACCAGGATGCATATCGAGTACGTTCTAGACTCGAATCTTTTAAAAGAGAACGTGTGTGCACATTGTGTTATGTTTGAAATATATGATTTTTTTTTCTATTTTCTCCTCATCCAACTTTTGATATCGGTTTGGTTCAATCTTTCTAACAAATCTAACAACAAATTGGAATAATTTAAGGAATAAAACTGTACTTCAAGTTTCAAAATGCCATTCAATCTGTATTTAGATATATCGTCTATTTTGAAATAGATACTGATTAACAGATATTAATTGATTGCTTAGTGGGTTTCAACCTTCTGATCAACGTCAGTCAAATTCATCAAACTAATTATGAAATGAATATTTCATCAAACCCACAACGTTTGGTGTATGTGAGATACAAAAATTTTACCATCTAAGTGGTTCATTATGAAATGAGTTTAATACTAGGTAGTTTTCTAGTGTGGATCCAAGTTTATCAAAGTTATTTTGATCTGTTTGTTTCTAATTGGTTATTTTTTCTACCAATTTAGCTTAATGTGCCTTTTGTGTGTGTGTATTTTAACTAATTCTGTTAGATTTTGTCCTCCGGTGGGACAGCGGTAAGTTTGCGAAATTACAACGCTAAAATCCAGTGTTTGATTCCCCGCGATGAACACAGAAGACAGCCCAATGTGGCTTTGCTCTAAAACGAAAAATCGTTAGATTTTATATTTTATCAATAAACTGACTTGTGAAATGACTAAAAGGTTCTACATTTTCATTAAAAAGTAAGAATATTCTACCTTACTCGAGTGTACTGTTTTTTTTGGGGGGCGATGCTTCAATTTCTACATTGATGCATTAAATTAATAAGAAAGGGATATATTTCGTTAAACCGAGACCAAGTGGGGCTGAAATCACAAATATTACTGAAATTACTATAAGAACAATGGTTAAGTTATTTGGTCAATAACCTTTATTCAAATAATCTGAAAAATATTTCACAGACTAAGAATGTAGTAAAAAGTTATAGTGTTTTAACCATTTTAGGTGTTTTCATATGTTACTGCGTTATGTATATGATTTATGTCAATTGCTTTCTGACTGATACTCTGTTTTAGTTCTATTCACAAATTTCAGAGAATGTTTATTTTTGTCAAACCGTAACCAATCTCTAAGTTACACCTAATCTTCCCTCCATTTCTTATTTTTCAGAATTATTTAAAGTTCGTTACATGAAATGAACATTGGATGACACTCAAACCTTTCACCTTTTGTAACTCCATCCAGATATTCTTGTTATTAAGTCATATTGAGTGGACCCTTAAGAAATCCATAAACCCTTTAACAAATTTTGAAATGAGGTATTACACAATTTAAAACAAACTGTTATGCGGGAAAATTCAATACCCTGTTCATTGAATTTAGATCAGCATTTTCCTAAACCCCGCTGAATTGATTCTAGAATAACGCTTTACTTTTTGCCAATTTTAATCAAAATTCGTAAAATTTGCTTTAAAAATATTCTTCAACCTCTGAGATTCACTAATTTATCTCTATTTAACATTCTAGATATTATTTAATTAATTAAAGGCATTTTACCAAACTTGAATCATTCGGTTTGAAGTGCCATCACACATGACCAGTTTTGGTTGGTCAGCAGATAACGCTCTATTTCTGTACCAACCCATTAAAGAAAAAAAATTTGAATTGCCGAATCCGAATTTTTCAGTTTGGTGACAATACCCAATCTTTCCATCGGTTTCAGTTCAAAATGAGTCTATATAAAAAAACGTATTTCAACAAACTCGTTTTGAGTAATATCTTAGTGATACATTCTTTTCACCAGATTTGGTCTAATCAAGCAAATCAGTTGGTTTCTAGACTGTGATTTACCATTCCTATAGAAAAATATTGGATATATTGCTTTCTGGGTAGCGCTTATTTCCTTCGATAATCCATTAACTAAATTTTGAAAAAACGTTTTCTTAAAGTGTTCGATTTTTCTTTGGAAATAGGACAATCTTTAATAAAGTTTCTTGAAAAGGATTTCCTCAAATCCGTATAGATAGATTTCTGAGAGACGTTTATTTTATCTTGTAATCTATGTATTTTTGGATATAACCAAAGCCAATTTGATTTGTCTCTGTGCTTCACTTAATATATTGTTCATAAACTAATTAAAAAAAAAAGAAAGAAATATTTCACACGCACACAAAAGAAAAAAATTATGATCGTCTTTGGCTAATTTCTAATTTTTTCGCCAATTTTGATGTTAAAG